TACCTCCTTTTATACTCCTCTTTTCTTCCCCATTCTTGCATGCAATGGCAGCCTACCATGCTTTTGTTTTTGGCCATTTTACGGTTCTGAAAAAGTTCTTATTTTGGTCCATACTTCATGTTTCATTTAGGTCCTTTCATGGTTCGGGGCTTCCATAGGTCACTTCATGTTATATCCCTCTTTTATTCCCCATTCTTGCATGTTTAGTTAGCCTACCATGCTTTTGTTTTTGACCATTTTACAGTTCTAGAAAAGTGCTTATTTTGGTCCATTATACATGTTTTGTTAAGGGTCTTTGGCTGTTTGGTGATTATTTTGTACACCTCATGTTATAGCCACTTTTGAGCCTAATTTTGCATCACACTTTTGGCATATTTGTATACTGATTTTGAGGCTGCCATATACTGTAAATGTTCATATTTTTGGTCCATCTTCAATGTTGTAGAAGGAAAATTTTCAGTTTGGGTTTTTCTTATACCACTTGCTTCATTACCCCTCTTTTGGCCCCTATCCTTGCATGCCATTTTTCCCCTACCTATGCTTACTGTTTGACCATGTTTATAACTGTGAAAGTGCATTTTTTGGGACTTTCTAGCTTCTGTATTTGCATTTCATGTCCATATTGTGCATGTTTAGCATAGCTATAGGCCATTTCAGGCGCCTAAATTCGCATTTCGGGACATTTCCTTGCATTTCATGTCATTTCGCTTCATTTCGGAACTGTTTTCCCCCATATTTTAATGCTGAAATTCCATTAGTATGCTTGCATATCATTTCCATGCTATTTCATTGCATTTTGGCATCGCCTCGGTTTGCGTGCCCGTGTGCACGCATTTCGAGGCACTTCATTTTTATCTGCCGGCATCCTATGTGAGTGTGGCTGAGGCTCACTGATGTTGGTATAAGCCCATTTGTCATTTCCATGCCATTTCATAGCATTTTACCATTGCCTCGGTTTGCGTGCCCGTGTGCACGCATTTCGAGGCACTTCTTTTTTATCTGCCGGCATCCTATGTAAGTGTGGCTGAGGCTCACTCATGTTGGTATAAGCCCATTTGTCATTTCCATGTCATTTCATTACATCATATCATTGCCTTGGTTTGCGTGCCCGCGTGCACGTATTTCGAGACACATATCATTGCCTCGGTTTGCGTGCCCGCGTGTACATATTTCGAGACACATATCATTGCCTCAGTTTGCGTGCCCGCGTGCACGTATTTCGAGACACATATCATCGCCTCGTTTGCGTGCCCGTGTGTACGTATTTCGAGACATGCCATTGCTTCGGTTTGCGTGCCTTCATGTTAAATGTCATTTACTAGCTCAAGGTTGATACTGTCAGTAGTCATGTGATTAGGGCTGCAAATGAGCAAGTTGTTTGCGAGCTCGGCTTGGCTCGGCGCAGCTTGTTAAGTAAATAAACGAGTTCAAGCTAGACTTATAGGTTTGTTTAACAAACGAGCCGAGCTCAAGCTGGATTTTCGAGCTCGATAAACAAACGATCTGAGTTTGAGCCCTGCAAAGCTTGACTTGGCTTGATTGCAGCCCTACAAGTGATCCTGACCAGTCCAACTCTTGGGCTGGTCATTTACTGGTTTTGAGTGTTAACTCCTGCAGTAAATGAAAAAAATAATATACCGAAGTGAAAAAATAATATGCAAAATGAACATCTTTTTTCTTATTGAAATAATTTGAAACTTTGTTAATTGCAGAGCGCCACGTGCTTGGGAAGAATCCAGTTCTCTTCAACCCAACTTGAAGGATGAGTTACCTGAGAAGATGGAGCCATCTATATCTAGTCCAACTGTAAGGAAATCAGAAGAGTCAGATGATGAAAGGAACCGGAAGAAAAGGAGACGTGATGAGAAGAAACATGAAAAGCATGAGAAGAGATCAGAGAAGCGGCATTCTCGTGATTCAGATGACAAGAGGAGAAGCAAGAAAGGCAAGGAGAGGAGAAGACATGATTCTGACTGAATAATTGCGACTTTTAGTCTGTCTAACATTGTTATATGTTTGTTGACAATGTTTATTAAAATAGCAATCCACTACTTTCAACTTCTATAGGGGGGGATTGTATTCTTGTTTGGCTTTTGACATCTCTCTGGGGGAATTGTATTCTGTATTCTTGATTGGCTTTTGACATCCCTGTGAATTTTCTAGAAGTAGAATAACAGCACCTCTCTATTTCGGTGTGAGTGGTGGCTTTGTCTAATGTTTTTTGGAGCTAGTTCAATATTCGTGCAGCCGTTATTCTCCAGGGCAGCGTCATTCTGGCATTGTCCATTCATCATTTTAATATATTATCATGTTCGTTTTCAGGTTTTTGTTTATCTTTTTCTATGTGAATTTACATACAAACGCTGTATATATGAAACTTAAAATTTGCTAAGAATAATGTGCCCGTATGTAGTAACCGTCTTGAAAGCCTTAGAACAAAAAAGGAGCAGTAGGGTTATCGGAACATGATCTCGGGCAATATAAATATTGAATATTTATGTGAATAGAAATTAAATGACAATAATTTAGAGGAAAGAAGGGCAAATTTTATAATACACCCTGTTTTGGGTGTATCATATGCCTTTAGTTACAATATTTATTGTCTTTTGGTCGTGACTAATTTTGGTGTTAATTATAATTTATTGTAATTATTATTTTAGTTATGATCTAAAAGATTTTTGGTTATATGTGGTATTTGGTTATGGTTCATTATTTTTTCTTTCTTAGTCATGACTGAAGAAGATTTAATTACGATGCCACAAATGTCATAACTTATATTTGTGTATTTTAAATGTTACATATATATGTAATGCTATGGTACACATCTTCAAAAAGGTGTGTATTATATGTAAAATATATCATTTGTGAGTATTATAAGAGTCATAACTAAAAAAATAGTTATAACCAAATGTTACATAAGATTTTTTTTTTTAATTGGCGAAAGTTAGTTGTTAATAGTTAAATTAGCACCTATGAGAGTTAGCATGCTTACCCTTACAAAACACACAGTTTTTGTATCCTAATTTAACTCCCTTTTAAGAACCCATAGCCTTCCTTTTAGGACTAAACTCTAAGGCCCCGTTTGGTTTCAGAGGTAGAATGGAAGAGATTGATAGTGAGGGGATTGATAGTGAAGGGATTAAGTAAAATTGTGTTTGTTTTGATGATAGTTGTTAGTATAAGGATTGTTAAATTATTTTTATATAAAATAAATAAAAAAAATACAAAAACATTAAACATTAATGTTTTAAAAAAAAGCCCAACATGTAAAAAAATTTTAAAAAATAAAAATAAAATAAAAAATTTTCAGAAAAAAATAAAACAAATAAAATAATAATTTTTACTTAACAAAAAATACAAAAAATTAAACATTAATGTTAAAAAAAAATGGCCGACACGTAAAAAATAAATATAAATAAAAAATTTCTAATTCGCAAGACTATTTTTCTAATACCAAATCTTGGAGGCCCATCCGAATCCCCTTGGGGAGGCTCATCTTAATCCGGAGTTCACTATCAATCCCCTTCCCATCTCTCAAAACAAACACAATATTAGTGGGTCCCACCTCATTACCAATCACAATCCCCCATCTAACTCTCCAAATAAACGGGACCTTAGGAGAGTCATGGTGACCTCCCGTTTGAGACTAGACCTCCCATTTGGGACTAGGTCTCGTTTGAGAATATATTATTTTAGTCACTTTTTTACTTTTTATAAAAAGATATGTAGAAAAGTAGAGATAGTGATCCCATAATTTATAGTGACTTTTTTACTAAAAGTAAAACGAGGCCTCACATCATTGATCACATGATCATAAAAGATTAGGGAAATGATTTGTAGCCCTAAAATCCTCACCCCTAATCCCCCTAATTTCCATTTCTGGCAACTGTTTCCTTTTTTTTTTTTTTTTCTTTACTTAATATGGAAATTAGGGGGATTAGGGGGATGTTTTTTAGGGGATGTAGCATGACCCTTATTAATATTGTTCAATTTAAATCATTTTTCTATTTTGGTTAAGTAAAATTAATAAAAATAATAATATTTTAGTCATCATATTTAATGTAAGTGGACGGAAAATGTCTAAATTATTATTTTTCATTAAGTTTAATAACTAAAATATATCTTTTTGTTAGTTTTACTTAACAAAAATAAACAAATACTTATTTTGAAAATAAATCAAAATATTTGGATTTAAATTAACAAAATTAAAAACTCAAAATTTATTTTTCTGTAAAACTCAAATCCTAGAGGTTTTTTTTTTTTTTTTGTGGTAATTTTTTCAAAAATTTATCTAGCATTGAGTTGTTTAATTTAAGGTAAATTGCACTGACACCCCCTAAGGTTTCTATTTAATGCATATTTCCCTATTACGTTTGAAAAATTACATTTCTCTCCTCGATGTTTGTTATTACAAATTGCCTCTAGATATTTAATGTCATGCTCTAAAATTTTTTAAATGATCATTTTGTCTTTTTTTCTACAATTTCTTCTTTCTATCATCATAACTACATTCTACAACTTTTCATTATTAAAATTTGCCTAAATATATTCTTATTGAGTGATGATATATAGATATAAATTTTATATAAAATTTTCAAACACAACTCATATGTAATTTGCCTAATAAAATAGTAGTTCCCATATCATTATTAGTAGGACTCAAAATATAGTCCCTTGTATTTAGATTAGAATTAAAAAAGACTATAAAAATTTAAAATAAACTAAATAAATTTATAAAATAAAATGTTATATTTAAATTATAATTATTTTATCTTTCTTTTAATAAAAAAATAAAAAGGTCAAATCTTTTTTAAAAAAAAATGAAACTAATTTAATCAGATAAAATTAGTCAAAAAATTAAAAAATTAAATTACAAAAATATGTTTCAGAGAAGATGTACTAATAATCATTATATTTTTCAGACCAGGTGAAATTACTCAATTGCCCTTTTAAAAGGCCCGTGTGACACGTTACACACATGTTCTTGCCATATAGTTTAAACGGACCAAGGAGGGACACCTGCTTCTTATACAGAGACAGAGTGAGAGAGGAAGAGAGGAGATAAAGCTTGTTGGTCTAGGTTACTCTCTCTCAATAATTTATCGGAACCGAAGAAGCCTCGTCTTCCATCCCATTTTGAGTATACAAAAAAGCCTTTTTTTTTTGTAATCGGATCTATAAAATCCCTAATTTAGTTGACTGATATAAATAATCTTTGTCGATTTTCAGATCAATTATTGTTGCTTTTTACTGCGAATCCTTTGAGAGGTAGAGAGAAAAATGGTGTCGGCAAACAGAGAAATGGTGGTATATTGCTTCGACACCCTCGTCGCTCACTACAACAACCACCAACCCCCTCCTCCAGCTTTCGACGATGGTCAACAGTACGCTTTCACTTTTTCTCTCTAAAACCCTCTTGTCTCTCTATATATTTTTACATAATGTACTCGCATTGAAATTGATCTCGGCAGTGTTGGCAAAATAGGGAGAGAGATGATTCATTTGCATGTTGATTGTGCAATTTGATTTTTAAGTATCATTATTATCAGCCAGGAAAAAAAGGGGTTTTGTTTTTTTGGGTTCTATTTTAAAATTCTAGTACTTTTTGAAATTTGACTTACCTGTTATGAGCTTTGTTTTGCTTCCATTTATGCCTAGGCTTTATTGATGAGAAGATGGTTTATTTATTTTTTGTTATGGCTGTAGTGGGTTAAAAGGATGACTGTTTTCTTTACATGTTCTGTTCTTAGAAAGTTTTCACACTAGGATTGAAGCTTTGTCATGCAATTTTCAATAGTTAATGTAAGGACTTACCAAAAAAGTAAAATCAAAACAAGCAAAAACTGCTGTCCAGTTGCCCACTACATCCTTTCCATTCTCATCTCCATCATCTCTGTTATGGTTATTCCATTCACCTGCATTATGTTAATGCTGACCCTTATGCTGTGTTTGGTTTGGGAATTTGGAAAGGGAAAGGAAAAGGGAAAATGTACGTGAAACTAGGTGAAATATAAGGATATTTTATTCATATTTCACCTCCATTTTTCCTTTCCTTTTTCAAATTCCTTCCAAAATCTCTCAACCAAACACAGTGTTACTGTTATTCAAAGTTCATTTTATGGGCTATATTGCCATTGTCTATATTTAGAATTTTCATTTTGAGGGTCATTGCTCATTTTATGTATGACTTCAAGAAAACTTACTTGCTAGATACCATGGATCTGTGCAGTTTGTTTTGTATGATTAGGGATGGTACCAAAGAAAGTTTGGGATGGGGCACCACTTTCAAGCCCCAGAGTCCCTGATGAGGAACGTGTCACTTCTCCTCATACCCTATGTTATATGGATTTGAGTACAGGTGTTGGGTGTCGGATGCAAACATGTTAGCATTGGTTTTATTAATTTTTGTGCTCCTTCCTTTGTCTCACTTGTCGGTTCTACTGAACTGGCTGTAAGTGGTTTATTCCCCGTTTGGCAAAACTTTTTTTTGGTAAAAAATTTCAACCTTTCAGATTATTTTCTTTTTCAGCTCAAAAAGCTCAAAATAAGCGTAAAAAACTTTTTTTTTTGAAGTCGGGTTTTGAGATGTTTTTTAATCTAGTTTTTTTTTTTGTTTTTTTAATTTTATTTTTAAAGCTACAAAAAATTGTTTTTCCAAACAACCCTTTACCATGTTATTTTTATTTTGTGTTTTGAGTCAACACTGGGCATATATAAGCTTATCTTGCTAAAGTTTTTGATACACCTTGACACTTGGCAATCACGTCATCTTCCTTTAAGAGTTGCTTTAAATGCTTCTACTCTTTGTTACTGAGGAATTCTTTGTTTTAGTTCTATGATATTATATTATGCCACGTCTCTTTATTGACATCACAAATTATTTACCAATCGGTATTCATTTGGAATGTAGACTTATTTTAGCTGAATCTCTTCTCATATTTAATTGAGATGGAGACGGCTTTCCTTTGTATTGATTGTTTAACAATCAAGTCTGAATTGCTTTCTTGTCTTTCTGTAGTTTCTCTATTTCTTTAAAGTTTTTTCTTTTTTCTTTTTTCCTTATTGCTTGTTGCTTTCATTTCCTCCATAATCCTTGTTTCCCAAGCTAATAATATTTTGAACAGTGGAATTCGTGGACGAATATGCATCAAATGTTTTATCGTATATGTTTGATATTTAATTTAATCCAAGTATCACATTCTTCCCTCATTAGTTTTATTGTATAACAATGTTGGAAGCAAATTTACTAACCAGAACCATGTTGGATGTGATGTCCTGATCTGAACTGAATAAAATTATGATTTCAGCCCATTGTTTGTCACTTGGAAGAAAGTGGTGAATGGTGGGGAGGCTCGTCTGCGTGGATGCATTGGAACTCTGGAAGCTCATTGTTTGATCAATGGCTTTCGGGACTACGCGCTAACAAGGTAATTGCAAAGAAGCATTTTGCATATGAGAGAATTGACAGCTGAAAGCTAAAATAAGCTGAAAAAAAGCTGTACCAAACAGGGCCTTTGACATTATTGCTGTTTTAAGGCTTTGACATTATTGCCGTTTTTCTTCCTTTTACCTTTTCCTGAATTCATTCTAATCCCTGTAGGTATGCTATAAGTTGTTCTAGGCGCTATTAACCATCATGTGAACTCTTGTAATGTTTCTAGCTATTAGTAAAAAATTGTTATGCCAAATGATGGAAGTTTGGGGTTGGCCCTACCTATCTATTGTGTAAAAAAGCTAGTGAATGCATGGAAGTAAATGTTGGTGATGTAGGACGATTAGGGACAGCGTTGTAAGGACTTTAAAGTTGAATTTCTGTTGAGTTTTTATGGTGGCTTAAAGTTGAAATCAATAGAAATTTAGGATTTCAATTAAGGAATGGAATGAACTAAATTTAGGATTGGTAAACCAAGTGACAGAGATCAAAACAAGGGTTGTTTAGGAGCTGTGAACTATAAACTGAAACAGAAAAGAAGAAAGAAGAAGAAAATAGTTCTAGGAATCACTCCTATAATCTCTTAGGTATCATACCTAGGGTTAGAGTTGCATCACACAAACCCAAAGTGGCTTTAAAACTTTGAAAATCTATAAAATATCAACTCTATTAAATAAAAAGTATTACATGACTTTATATAGAATTATGAGACTTCCTAAATCAACTAAAACTAAAAAAAGAAACTACTAATGAAAACCCATCGAAGACCAAATAAGAAACATAAATACAAACTTGACCCACAAGATGACTTGTGGGGAACCCCGACAACCAGTGACAGCAAATATGAAAATGTTGTGAATCCCTTGAGCATCATACTTAGGGTTAGAGTTGCATTACACAAACCCAAACAGGCTTCAAAATTCCAAAAATTCTATAAAATATCAACTCTATTAAATAAAAAGTTTTACACTATGAAGCACCAACACTTCAAAACAAGTACCGTATCTGTGTCGGACAGAGACACTTCGGGAACACACGAACACTTTGGGGACACGTATGGGACAAGCCACATGGCGTGTCCCCGTATTTAATAAATTTATTTTCAGGGTACACGCTAGGTACACACTAGGGACATGCCAAGTTGTCTTTTCCTCCATTTTATATAGTACTTTTGATAAATGTTGAACGTTTATTATTTTTTTCTTAGATTTAAATACTTAATAGATTATCCATAAAAATGTATAAATTATGAATGTTAATTTAAAAGTACTTTTAATTTATTTTTTTTAAATATAGAATTAGAGTTAATTTTTGTTAATATTGATTGTTTGTGGATGAAATATTAATCTAGATAGCAAATAAAAATATATAAAAACATATTTTATTGTCGTGTTCCCATTGTGTCCTTGTCTCCATTTTTTTGAAATCGCTATGTCCTGTGTCTGCATCCGTGTCCATGTTCACATCCGTATCCGTGTCCATATTTCTTAGGTAGTACATGACTTTATATAAAATTAGGAGACTTCCTAAATCAACTAAAACCAAAAAAAGAAACTACTAATAAAAACCCATCGAAAACCAAATAAGAAACATAAAAAAATCATTTAAATAACTTGACTCGCAAGATGACATATGGGCAATCCCGACAACCAATGACAACAAATATGAAAATTACCAAAATACCCTTGACCTAAAAACTCTAAAAAAACATAAAATAACTATAAAATAAGACCCTACTAACACTAGTAGCTTGAAACCATGGCAATTTCCAAATATTGCCACTTCTTTAACTTTGCTTTTTCTTGCTCTTCTTGTGGATTGCATTAGTTGGGTAGATGAAGGTGCTTTTTAACTTCTAGATTAACATCAAAATCCCGTTGCAAAAAAATAAAAATAAAAATAAAATAAAATGTTTCATATTGGCAGCATTGTTGTTTTCTTCGGTTCCAATGTTGCGTCATCTCTAGATTAGTGTCTATTATTTAGCATTCATCCTTGTTAGAGGACTTAAGTTATATAAGTTGCTTTTCTTTGGATCAACAACAATATACTCTTAGCTCATGAGTTCCTAGGTATATTTAACCTTCTTTTTGCAAATTTCAATCATCACCATACTGTACGTTCCATTTTCACATTTATATTTGATTCTTTTGTTATGTCCATGCTGTTGACAAAACCTTGAGTTGTACATAATGGTAGGATGGTACTAACCAATATTTTTTGTATTTGTTGACTAAACCACTGATCACCCTCATCAACTAAATCCTGGTTGATGAGGTTTTGTTGTTCCATTTGCATTTGATTTAACATGCCATTTTTATGTTGGTGCAATCAGGTACAAGCGATATTCTCTCGCAAATAGAGTAATAATATTGATAAAAGCTTTACAATTGGATGTGTTCTAGTTATGGACTTGCTTTCAGCCTATAATGTCAAATACAGTTCTAAGAAGGATCTAAGATAGATCTTTCTTATCCCAATCTATTTGTTGTATCCTTATCAAATCTATCCATTTCTACCACCACATTTTGATGAGTACCGGTTAATTGTGTTAATACTTTTGGACAATTATTATGACATGCTATTCTAGGAGTTTTCAGCAGTCAAAATTATTGACTAAAACCTTGCCCATGATTGCTTGGAATGAATAATATTTAGGTACTTGTAATAAGGCGGCACCGGTTTTGTCTGAACCTAGTCCACCCCTCCTAGACCCCCATGAATGGGGACTAAAATGGGTTAGAGTCATTACTTGTAATTTGAAGTAAAAGGAGAACGTCAACCAAAATCCAGTTTATGATGTATGCCTATAAAACCATGTTATAGTTAAAGCTAAAAATGAATAGCAGAAGTGTCAAAAAGTAAGTTGCTTCTGAAGAAGCTCTTTTGTGTTTAATCCTTTGATTTTGTGAAGCCAAATGCATTCTTATAACCTGACATCTATTAGGTGTATACTGGGAATACCCTCTCTAAATGGTATATCATGACAGGTTCCTTTTTGTTGTAAATGGATCCATCAATAAATAGCTAAATACCCTGCTATGGTGTACAGTTGATAGTTCTTAACCAACCCCTTCTTGCCGAGCTTTATAAAGCTTTAAGAGAGAATAGGGAGTAAGGGGGACCTTTGCTTCATTATAAATTGGATATCTCCAAAATTCGATGTACTTCTACAAGTGTGGGACACGCCTCATGTTTGCCGAATCTAAAAATCATTGCCTCTGCATCCCAACACTTCACTGCGGCTATGATCAGATCCCACTGTTGGTTCACTTTTTACTTTATCCTCCACCAAATCTTCTAATCTCCCGTTCTCAATGTTATCCTTATAAAAAAAGAGGGAAAAATCCAGCATTTGCTGGCCAGTGTGGCCCTTAACATCTATAGCATGTTTTTCAGTATAGGCAGAAGAAAACTGTTGTGTGTAGCCTTTTAAGCCACTGAGTAGCTTGGCTCATTTGTTTATTTGATGTGTCACGAAAATATTAAGGTTCTTATCATTTTAATTTTTGAAGACGTGATGCTTCTGATGATTATCTGTACTGATTCTTAAATTGGTGGCACATCCAGCTTGCTACAGCAAATTTGCTTGCTTCTTTGTTGTGTAAAGAATACAATCTTTTCGTTAATATACGCTAAATTGAAGTTGTTTTTTACTTAGAATGTCCTTTTCAATTGAATCTCCAACTCTTAATGGGATGCCGCTAAAGCTTTGGCTTTTGCAGTGCCCTGAGGGACCGCCGATTCCCCCCAATACAGGCTAAAGAGTTGCCTTATTTGGAATGTACTGTCTCCATTCTGATTGATTATGAGGCGGCTCTCCACTACCTTGATTGGGAGGTTTGTGCTTTCTTGTTTTAATTTTGGAACATGGCTGTACATAATTTCTCAGTTCTAGTATGCTCAACAATGAACTACTACATGATGCCTTATTTTACCTACATTTTCCGTTCCCAAAAGCCGCAACAGGTAGATCCTAACCATTTTACTGTATTCTCACTGGAAATCATTAAAAAAATAAAAAATAAAATTGGACAATAGACAAATCCTAAAGAAGTAAATGTTCTCTCTCTTTAGTTTACTTTTTAATTCACCAATATTGTTGAAATGGTTAGGATTTTAAGATTTGGTTGTTGGCATAGAATTTAAGTGGGAGTGGGATGATGAATCTACTTATCCAAATGCTGCAATATGAATTTGCTCAATAGATTCTCGAACTTACTAAAATTCCGTGGATTTGAAACTGGTTAATGAGATACTGATATAAGATTGTCTAACTGGATATTAGTTTAGTCTGCTCCTCTAAATTTTCTGTATGGGCAACTCTCTTAATTTTGTTGTTAAGTCCTCATTTTGCTTGACTTTTAATTCTGTAGTTGTGTTTTTATGTGTTTTTGTTTGTCTCCTAAAGAATATTATTGTTTTTTTGCAGATTGAAAAGCATGGTATAATTATTGAGTTTACTGATCCCGACTATAATACAAGGCGAAGTGCCACATATCTGCCTGAGGTGGCTGCCCATGAAGGTCAGTTTGTTACAAATTTAGTTTGAAATCCTTATTGCTACAAACATAACTGGATGAAATCCTTATGTATGATGTGTTGCTCTGTTGCTGCTTGCATGCATCTGGCCCCTCCAACTATTTGACGTCCCTACAAACAATAGCATACCAATCCCACCTAGATAGATACAATTAAAAAACAAGACTTAGCTAGCTGCTTATAATAGTGTGGCCAGTGAAGTAATGAATTTGTAATTGGGATAACAAAAAATTGACTCCAAATTTTGCGTCTTTTTATTTTATTTTATTTATTTGGGCCATTGTAAATATTAGTGGTACACATTATTCATGTAAAAAATCATGTTGATGTGGTTTATATATTAAAATTACATTCACTGTTAATTTTTTTTTTAAAGACAAATATAATCTGATCATGTGGCAACGAAGGGGACAAAACCCCAACTCCCAAAAGATGACACATAAATATGATCATGATAGCATTATTTATTCAATATATCTTAATAAATTTACATATCAACAAATATATATATATATATATTATTGATTTAAATATATACCAAATTATAAAACAAGTAATGAATTTTTAGTATGTTATTAATCTTATTTGAGTAATTCAAAATTTATTGCATTTATTGCAACCCCCGACTAAATTTTTTATGTTGTGGATTTGCTCTACATTCCTGTCTCCACCCCTGATTGAAAGCTTTCTAAGATAATCTGAGACTTTTTTTTTTTTTTTCCATGAAAAATGCTAGAAACCCATAAAATATGACCTCCAAATTCTCCCCTAATTGTGGCAGGGAGTTGGGTCTTAGGTCGTCAATTTTTAAACCAATCAATAATTGACATGGAGTAATTGACAGATGTGCTGTTTTGGGGGACTCAAGTTTTTTCCTTTTTTCATATCCATGTCTTGTGACAAGGTTCTTTATAAGCAATATATTTCTCCAAATTGAATTACATTATGAACTGAAAGAGAAAATTTGGGAAATTTTAGAGGTGTTACAAGTTGTTCTTCCTTCGAGTGAGCAACCCTGATTTAGGCATTTATTTTTATTTTGCTATTCACTGAAGCCTTCATAGAGGCATATATGCACAAAGATACCCGATAAAACCTATTTATACAAAGTTGGACACTAGGAGTCATTTTATTATTTAGTTATTCCTTCTCTGAATGTGGAGACGGAAGAATTATTTTGTCAAAGATTTGGGACATGGTAAGCTCCATCTTGAATATGTGCCGAGGTGCCACATAAAGCATTATGTTTTGATTGGTAACCAGGTGTCCCTTGTCTGGGCATATTTTGGTTTCAGGCTGGACAAAGATAGAAACGATTGACTCACTGATGCGAAAAGCGGGTTACAATGGCACCATAACTGAATCACTCCGAAAGCAAATTCGACTGACCCGTTATCAGAGTACGCTATGTACTATGCATTATAGTGACTATGTCACCTATGTCAAAACCGCCAGAGGTGTTGCTCCCTCTATTGTGGGGGCCAAGCCTGGCAACCATTGATTGCTGTAAGCTTCTTCCATTGAAACTGAGAAAAAAAACTTGGTTATGGAGGACCTCCTGTCAAAACAAAAATATAAAAAATAAAAAAAAAAATTGATGGGGTCGGAATCTATTTGTTTGTGTTCCAACCCCACGGCAGGAATTGTTATAAACTGTTCTAAATTATTCTTCAAATTCAAGTTCATTTGATTTTGAGGAGGTCACCAAATCACTTGTAATATAAGGTCATACAGTGTGTTTATTTATCACTTGCAAGCTTTAATGTTTCATATTTTTAGGTTTGTAAGAGAATGTTTGGTTAATTATTTTGCCTGATTTATTCCAAGAATGTCTTTTAATAATTCTTTTTTTTTTAAAAAAAAATTCTTTTAGGGTTTGAAAGTCAAATAGTGTGATTTGGCAAGATTATAATGATTTTAATGATTTTAATGTCAAATAGTGAAAGTTCATAAAATTTACACAACATTACAATGAACATAATACTAAGATCATGCATACTTTTGTACTACACTTGTAAAGTAATTAAAAAAACTTTTTTTTGTTTAATTTCAATGTCACCACAATTGTTACAAGCACTAACATTATCTTGTTTAGGGTTATTATCAAGTATTATATCATTTTTAAGATCACAATCAAATTCAAATGTTGTAAAATATTTTCTCCTCTTTCTGTTCATGTTCACCTAATACAATGGTGAGAAATTATAATAATATATTCTTTTTTAATAGATGAATAACCATTCTTTCATTTTTGGCCTAATTTATCAAACACATTGTAATTGATATATTCTGAAGGAAATTGTTTGATAGCTCAAAATTTTGTGACTCAAATCTGTCAAAGTGACGACATTTTACATTCAAAATCTGTCAAAACGACGTCGTTTTGAGTGATTTGAGCCATTTGAGTTACAAAATTTTGAGATACCTAGCATTGTTGTATTATGAATCATCTTTTTATTTGAAACCATCTCAAAAGGTGACTTTGTACCATTTGGAGGCATTATGTTCCATCGAAATTGCCTTAATGGCTGGACATCTATTTGATCTTTGAGGAGTATGTCTAATAAATAATTGATCATCTTCTCTCCATGACCAACATATTGATAAATAATAATAATAATGTTAAACAAATTAATAAATTTTATAAATTCTAATATGATATTTATTATATTATTGAAATGAGTCTTATTTTAAAGGATAAATGACAAATACATTTTATGAGATTTACTTAAAATACTAATTACCTAATGTGATTTTAGAAGTAACGTCTCGCCTTTTTAAATTTCTATTCGCATAACAAATGACTTGATTTCATTTAAATCTCGAAACAGAATCCTAATTAAAGGTGTTATGTGTAAGAAGATAATAATTTGAGGTGGTTCACTGTCGCGTTTTGAAATTTAAGAGACAAAAGTATAAATGAGTCATACTTTAAGAGAGTTTACTGTAATTTATCTAATAAATTTTTTTATATTTTTAAGTAAGTTAAGAGTATCTCCAATTAAAATGTTAAGTATGCTCTTGTGGAAAATGTTAGACAGTTAGATTCGAAGATATAGTTTGAATAGAGTTACTAAATAAGCTCCCAATAATGTCAAATTTTAAAAATATAAAAATTTATTTAAAACTAATTTTTTAAAAATAAAACCAAACAAAGTAATTTACTTAGCAATGTGGAGGGGGCAAGAAGAGAGAGAGAGAAGACATGCCGATAATATATAGAGTAATATTATAAATTCACCCTTATCAAATTAAAAATTACTCAAATTAATTTTCACCATATCTCACATAAATCTCATACTATACAAATTAATTTTCACATACAATCAATCAAAAATTTTTTGGCTAAGTAAGTCAAGTTTCAGACTTTCCCTAATATATATAGTCAATATTCTGTTGAAGTTCTTAACAACCATACAAGGGAGGGGGCAACTGTTATGATATTGAAAATTTCAGAGTTTGATTGTAATTTTATGAACCTTAGGAACGAAGGAAGCACCTTATATCATATCAAATTTTAGAGGAATTAAGGTCACATTTGACAATATCACTTTTTAGTTTAAAAGTTAAAAAGTTATTAAAAAAATTAAAAAGTCAATAATTTATATTATAAAATTAAAATTTTTTTTTCTTTCTACTTTTTACACATATTTTCATAAAAAACTAAAAGGTGATCCTAAACGTAATAATTTTTTCATATCATATTTTAATTAAAAAATCAAAAAGTTATTAAAAAAACGTGTTTGCAAACAAGGCCTAAATGTAATTTTACCTAACTTTGTAATTGACAAGATAATACATATTTTAAATCTACATTACCTTCGTTTGAGATGTGAATTGACTTTTTACTTTTTTTAATTTTTTAACTATTTTAATTTAGAATTAAAAAATATAGTTTGAGATCAACTTTTTAACTCTTATTAAATTTTATAAAAAAAAATAATTATAATTTAAATATAATATTTTTTATTTACTTTTTAAACTTATTTTATCAGTATTTTTTGTGCCTATTCCAACCGAGACTTTTTATGCTTTAGACATTCTTAACCCCATCCCAACTCCGACGTTACAATTTCAGACTCCCACGTTCATTCTACTTCTCTTCCACAAATCCACATCAACCATTCGCCACCTCACCCCATCCACAGGTTCTCTCTCTCTCTCTACATATACATACATATACTGTCTATATATCCTCATATTGCTCTCTTTAGAATCACGAGATTAGCCTGATAATTCCAAGTAATTGGATCTTATTTGTCTTCGATTTTTGCACAATGCATGATCAGATCAAGGTTTAGCGCCACACTTGGGCTTCTACGTCCAATCTTCACTACCACTACCATTATCATCTTTCTCTTTAGTTAATTTGTTCTAGTTTAGGCGAAATTTATGTTTTTTTTTTCTTCCCCTGATTTGTGGTTTGGTTGATGCGAAACACCTGTTTAGGGTTTGTTAATTTGGTATTAAATTTTGTTGTATTGTGATTCTTGTATGAATACCTAAGTGTCATATTGAAAGCATCCACTCTTGTATTTGCTGTTATGTGTATTACCTATTCTATTTTTATATGAAGCACACAACTCAGAACAATTTTGAAGTCTTATCACTTTTTTTCTTCACTGTTCCAATAAATAACTGCTAACAGTTTTCAATTTCAACACAACTTTCTCATTCATTAAATCACCAAAAAAGAGAGTAAAATTGGACTTTGATGCCTATTGATTTTGCCCCTAGTCACTGCACGCTGGACTTGAATGAGTACTATTTGTCTGTTAAATTAAAATTTAATGAACTTTTATGGGTTTGTGTTTTTTGGTAGGTTATTGTTGCATTAAGGGACTAGTTGCATTAAGGGACTAGTTGGACGGTGTTTGTGGTTCTTGTCGCCATTGAAATTATAGTTGAGAGATGAGTCAAAAAGGCTTAATTTATAGCTTTGTTGCGAAAGGAAATGTTGTTCTAGCTGAGCACACTTCATTTTCGGGGAACTTCAGTACCATTGCTGTGCAATGCTTGCAGAAGCTTCCTTCTAATAGCAGCAAGTACACGTACTCATGTGATGGCTACACGTTCAACTTTCTTATAGACAATAGATTTGGTATTATTTCTTCATTCAAATTGAGACGATTTTTCTTTTTCTTTTTCTTTTTCTTGTTCAAACTATATGATGTTGATATTTCTGATTGAATATTTTTATTGCCATTGCAGTTTTCCTTCTTGTTGTAGATGAATCAGTTGGGAGGGGTGTTCCTTTTGTGTTTCTTGAGAGAGTCAAGGATGACTTTAAACAGCGTTATGCTGGCATTATCGGAAATGATGTTCCACATCCACTTGCAGACGACGAGGATGACGACGATGATTTATTTGAAGACCGGTTTAGTATTGCGTACAATCTTGACAGAGAATTTGGGTTTGTATTTTCAATTTCTTATTCTTTATGTGCATACAATGATGATTTATGATCAAAATTTGTTCTCCTCTATCCCAATGATGTCTTGTTCATTGATTATGCATTTTGTTTTGTAGGCCAAGGCTCAAAGATCACATGCAGTATTGTATGAACCATCCAAATGAATTAAGTAAGCTGTCCAAACTGAAGGCTCAAATAACAGAGGTCAAAGGGGTAATGATGGACAATATTGAAAAGGTATTTTCTTTTAATTTTAATTTATTTTTTATTTTTATTTCTTTTGAGAGTTATATAGGTGATAGAAACAATAAATATGTAGCAAACACAAGAAATTACCATAATTTTGTTGTTGATTTTGTTTGATCATGAAAGGTTGTCAAGTCCAACATTCATTGCATATGTGGAGGTTTCATACAATTACTAATGCAGACATACTAGTCTCTGAAAGCAACCCCCATCCTCCCACCAATAAGGAAAAAAATTTAGGGAAGTTGTAAGTTAAATATTTGAGTTTGTAGTAAATGCCGGGAAGGTCTAGACTTTGGCTTTTCATTGGAAGGCATTGACTATTTGGTTGTTTGAACCTCTGATACTTTGGCCTTTAATTCTCTAAGCCATATGCCTTTTAACAAAGACAATTAATTTAGAAACATCTTTTGGAATTGAATTAAATTTTGCATGCTTTGCAATACGTAGGAGATAAGGGTTTGGGAAGGTGAGGTGTTATGGGGAGAGGTTAAATCATGTTGAGGATATAACTCTATCTATTCTAATAATAAATTTAATCATTTACTATAATGGGTATGTTTGAGTGAGTAGGTTGATCATGGAACTGTGGCTGGCCACCTTAGGATGGTGTAATTGTGAAGTTGTTTCCTCTAGCTGTCATGCTTGCCTTAGGCTAATTAGCTCTCATGAGAGGCTGTACTGAACCAAGTGTAAAGATTACCAGCTTAGTGGCATGAAAGAGAGCAGCACAATTTGTAACAATGAAAATAGGTGTTGCTAAAAGAAAGAAAGAAAGTGTTATATTGGATCCATAGTTCTGTAAGTGATTTTGGGTGGAATGTAATGTTCTAATTATGGTCGGGACCAAGGGAGTTACATCGAGCAGAGGGAAGGTGCCATTCAACCGATGTAGCAAGGTAGTAAGCATGAGGATTGAGGAATCCCAAGCATCCTCTATGCAGTTAAGGGATGAAGCTGAGGAAGAAGGGCTACCTACCCTAGCAGATCAATTAGGTTGTGTTTGGATCATGGAATTTGATTAGGGCTTTGATGAATATGTTTTTGGAAGATGAGGCCAAGAGTGGGGAGAGCCCATTCTGCCTTCAGCCATACATCATGGGCTGGATTGTCCTGAAATTTTCAGTAGTTATTTGAGCCATACATTATGGCCAAGAGTGGGTCGTTACACTTTTTAGAAGGGCTAAAACCTCGGCATCATTAGTACCACCTTGCTTTATAGGCTTGGAGAAAACAAAAATATTTTTTTAGTGGTTTTGCAGGAGCACTCTAATTCTAGATTGTCCTGAATTTTCAGGTGCAGCAGCCATTAGGGTTGTTCACATACCTGATTCACCCAAAAAACCCAACCCTGACCTACAAAAGTGATGAACGGACAGTTCCGATCAAATGCTAAGTCGGCTGATGGTGTGTGAAGTTTTATGTTTTTGGGTGTATAATTGGCCCAATCATTCAACCCGAACTGAATGAATTATTTATAAAAAAATGAATTTTACGCATAGCATTGTTTGATTGACTAAAATTGATTACATTTTATCTTTATCTAATCTGTTCCCTCTCTCTTCTCTAACAAAAACCACACACTCACGAAATCACCTCTCCCTCTCTCTCTCTCTCTCTAGTCTTCACTTCTGCAAGCCTTTCACTTCACTGCCTCGTCGTAGATTCGTTGTCACTTGGCTGCCACTTCATTTTGTCATCAGAGTCGCTACGTGACAAAATCCTAGCCCTGTCAAAGAAAAATCCTAGCTCCTTTGTTTCATCGCTGCCCTTTCAACCTCAGATTTCGGCTCCCCAATCTTAGATCTCATTGTCTCTCACTGAAGGGAATCTTTTTTGTTTCTTGAAGATGTTACTTAGCCCCTTTGTAAGATCTCATATCTACATAAGAAGATTGAGTTACTCTACAATATGAAGGAAATCTTTTTACTTTTTTGAAACTTGAGGATTGGGCTTTGGGATTGGCTGTGCTTGTGCTTTGAGATTTGTTGAAGATGGAGTGGTTGGTTTGAATGCCTGACTGAAATTTTTTCAACCCGACAATGTTTGGTTTTGAATATGTAGGCAGTAAAAATTGGGTAGTTCTCTCTTCAACCTGAGGTGATGGGTTCAGGTGACAGTTGTAGGGCAAACCTGACTCATGAACATGTAGTAGCCATCTAATTTTAGGTTCAAAACTTTCATTTGGGACCAATTTTTGGAGCTAAGACATAGCTGAATGGGAGTAACATGACAAGCTGACAATTGTTTCGTGATGATGGGAAGAGGAACGCCTTTGAACTGTTTTGGCATGACATTTTCAAGGAATCGAAGCATCACATTTGAACATCGATGTATCCTGAGGAGTCTATTCTGTTTCCAAAAACCATTTTATTTTCCTCTCCCAAAACAACCTTTTTGCTTCAATCACTTCTAAAGCTTCCAAACAATACCGAAAAGAAGAGTGAAAATTATACCATCCCTTTGAAGACATTTGTACGCTGATGCGAAACTTGTGTGTTATTTGAGGACCACAATATGGAACAGGCTTTTAGAAAAATTAGTTCCTTACCATGGAATGGAGAAGCTATTTTGCTCCACATGATTGTGGGAGGTGTATAGAGAGAGGAGAATTACCTCACTATCTATTGGGGAAGGAGAATTACCTTCTTGTGTTCTTTGTTGACTTGTATGAATCATAGAGGAGTTTTGGACAGGAAGCCTGTCTAATAGTATTATTAGTGAAGGACATGAACAATTCTTTCAAGTGTGTAGGTAAATGGATCTATTCTACATGTGTTCTCAACCACGTTATCACCTCAACAATCATCACCACAACATTATCTCCATGAACTTGAGGTCCATGTGTCAACTTCGTGAGGTGACATGTGGATCAATCACATTTCTCCAAACGCTCCCTTTAGGGTTGGACCATGCTAGCCAAGGCTAATATAGTACACGGTGTCTTGTCTTAGGGTTGGTTTGGGATGTTCTAAAAAAGTGCACTTTTTTACTTATTGGCTTATATGGGTTGGGTTTGAGTTGGGTTTGATGTGATGTGTTAGAGAGGTGATGTGATTTAAATAAGATGATGTGACTTAAATAGGATAGTAACTTTTTGACTTTTTGTATTATTTAGTTTATGCCAAACCAACCCTTAGTCTCGAGCCTAGGCTTTGAGGGACATTTTCAAGAGGTATTTCCTAGTTTGCATGCCTGGACATGCTCAAAGCACCCCATTAACTCGGCCAAAGGAACTTTAGCTCAAGTGTGTCACCCTCTACTTGTGATGACACACTCAATACTCGCGGCTTCGTCAAATGATTCTCCACCCAAGCATGCCCCTTTTTGTACCTCAATCCTTCTCCTAGGCACACTCAACTCTCCGGCAGAGTGTGCCCATCTCTGTATGGCTCCAATGATTATCTCTAGGTAGTTCTGGGCACACCCAATTCTTCCGTGGGGAATACCCATCTTCACATGATACATGCACTCTGCCCTCCTTTGGTTCAGCTGAGTGGTTCTCCACATGTGCACAGATTGCCTATGAGCTATACACGGTTCTCGAAAGGCACACTAATACTCCTACACTAATGTAGGTGTAAATCAGGGCTCAGAGACCTTTGGGGTTAGTACTGTGGCCATGAGGTGCAGAGCGACCCCATGAGCCCCCCATGCGTGGGATTACTGGGGTCTCATGGCTTGGTGGCTAGTGTTAAGAGGGTTAGTCAAGGTGATTCGTCCCATTCTTCTTCACACTTTAACCAACCTTAAAAGAGACTTCTCCATGTAAAAATATGGCCAGATTATGATTGGATCAACCCATCAATTAGCAGTTACAAATTCTGTAGGCACTTGAGTGCTTTGGTGTCCATGTTTCTGGTAAGCTTGATTGCCATTACAAGCTGTCAAACAAAAGAGGAAGGTTGAGTTGGGTAAAATGATGAGTAGAAAAAACGACTATAGATACATGATTTGTTTTTATTTTTATCAAATTTGTTCTCGTTGAAGAAGGAAGAAAGTTCTTTATAGTATGAAGTTTGGATGATTGGAGGATTGTGTTTGTAATATTTTATGGTTGGACACTCCTATTGAATTGAAGTTATTCGGTTATAAGGCAATTGTGAGATTGGTATCGTATTATAATATTGTTGAGAGTCGTCTGTGTGATACTTTGACATTGAGGGATTTAATCATGGGTGGGGATTGCTGAAAAAGATGAGGCTTTATTGAAAACATACCTTTTAGTTCCCTAGTAGTGATTGAATGAGGTTAATATTGCCAAAATGTAAGGGAGGAGAAAGATTTTTGCCTAAATGTTCTTCTGATAAGGACATCCAAGCTTCCCCCACCCATACTAATATTCTGACAGTGGCATATTCTTCAACTTCTTATGGATCCATGTTTCTTAAACACAGTGACACAGCTGCATTAGTTTAAAGGCAACTTTTCTTAGTGCCTTAACGAATCAGTTACTTTTTATATGTACCTAGGGTGAATACTAAGCCATCATTATTTTCTATTGTCAGATGGCTAACAATGATAATTCTTACGTGGTTTTGCTCAACTTAATCTGATAAACGACTTTGTCTTCTCCTGCATTGCAGGTTTTGGATCGTGGTGAGAAAATCGAACTCCTGGTGGATAAAACTGAAAACCTTCAGTTCCAAGTATGTTTTATTCATTTATCTCGTGATTACCTAAGTGTGAAAAAATTCTTGGGGATTTTACGGTTGACATGCTTGTGACAATGTGATTGAATTTAGGCAGATAGCTTCCAAAGGCAAGGAAGGCAACTGCGACGGAAGATGTGGTTTCAGAATCTCCAAATGAAGCTTATGGTTGGAGGAGGAATCCTTGCTCTGATCATCATACTGTGGCTAATAGCTTGCAGAGGCTTCAAATGTTGATGCGACAAAGGTACATGTAGTATTTAGGAGTTGATGCTTGTTCATTGGGGATACAAAAGATTACAGGTTCGTGTATATTAAGTACGTGTCTGGAATGAATCCTTCTATCTGTTAGACCTTGTGATCAAACAGCTGTTTGATCTTATCTTACTGTTATGATTGTATTTGTTTTTCCACAATAATGAGACGATTTAATTTGATATGCTTATGTTCTAGTGGTTGCTGATTTTAACATCTGGCAACCTCAACTTCAGGGAATGTTGAGTAGATTGTTGAAGCCATTGTAAAATATTCGTTAAACTTTTATGTTGGTATGGTTGTGATTTTGGGTTGAAGCCTTTGGCGTGTTCCAGGTATTAACCTCGTTGCAAATAGAATGGTTTGGGAGTTGGTTTATAGAGTAAACAAAGTCTAACTAGTGGCGGCGAGGCAGGGCGGAAGGGGTAGGCATAGGCAAGGGCCAAAGTGACATAAAACAAAACATTTCATGGGTAAAATTGAGTCAATTAGAATTACATGGACTAAATTGAGAGTCACCATATGATCAAAGCCACATGAATTTGTAAGTTTGTGAGAGCATATAAGGGAAAGGGACACAAGTGTTTGGAGGTATGACAACCAAGGAACAATGTATATCATTGGTGACAAATTAGTTTATACCTTAAAAGCTTGTGAGTTGTGGAATGTTTTTTTTTTTTGTTGTTGAGGAAGAGCCAATAAATGGTAAGTCCAAAAGGGTAAGAAAAAAGTCATTTGCAATTCTGCAAAGATAATATATTAGAATTGAAAGATCTATTAGTCATGTTAAAAGATCTCTTAGTCATGAATGGAAGATGTAACTCCATTCTATTGCCTCTAATTGTAGAGGAGAATTTTTTTCCACCAAGTTTTAAGTACAATGCTTTGGAGGAAGATGGGATTTCAAAAGAGCATATGAAAGTTTTGAAGACCTTAGGGAGAAGTCCATAGGGAATAATAAGGTAGAATACTGTGTTAATGAAGATAGGGACATTGGAGACAAAAATTGAAAAATAATTAAATAGGTAAAAGAAGAAATAGTTGAAGATGGAGTTCTATGGAGGCAGTGAAAAAGTTGAAAGATGAAGAAAATGAAATTGTGAAAATTCAGTAGTATGAAAAATAAAATGTGAAATAGAGGTTCATGGCTTGAAGAGCTAAAACTTTCAAGTATGCCTTCTTTGAAAGAGAAACCCTTGTTTTAAAATTGAAAGGAAAAAAAATGTGCATTCCTTAAATAGATTTGGAATAAATAAATTTGCAAGTTCAATGTAGTTCATGATACGAAATAAGTTGTGAAGGAGATGGCATTTTTGAAGTATGTATTTTTACAGAATGGGATTGGAAAATTTGATTTTTTAACATAAGTTGGGTGAATATGGATGGGGATTTTGATCCAAAAAGCAATCAAATTCAAAATTTTTGACTAGCATGAAGAGTTAAATAACAAGAGTCTGTAGTACGTGAAGGATAAAATAGATGAAAATATCAAAGTCAAGGTTTACACATCTATGGAGATTACTATTGAAGGGGGGTAGAGTTCAATGATATCCACAGTACTACATCAAATTTAGCAGGTTGTTGGAAATTAAATTTGATTTTGAATAATATAGATAATTATGTGTTAATAGTAGAAATTTCTATATATACATGATATATACATGTATGGAGTGATTCATGTTTGTAAAAAGTTGTATGTAAAGTTTGTGTGCATAAATGAGGTTGATCAATTATGTCAAGAAACAATTTTCCATTATGATAACTCAACCACTAATACAAATAATTTAACCTTCGAATAACTCATAAGTTTTAGGTAAATAAATCTACAAATTTTCACATTAGCTCTACATATTATACAATGGATTGCCTTCCAAAAAGTTTATATAATCCTTTTTTGGACAAAATTTCGTGTGACATTCTATTTACTTGTGATTATTAACTGATTAATTCAGTTATGACTGTAGGAATTTGATCAAATATTGATGATTTTGACGATTATTTAGATTACTTAGGACAAGATGCTGCTGATAATAGATTAACCACACCAACTTCTCTCAATGAATTAACAATATTGCCATCCATCAACAAACGATAACTAATTTGACAACATTAAATTTAATCTTTAGTTAAATTATTTGTCTCTTCCTATTGTGTTTGATTCTTTCCCTTGGAAATTTTTTTATGCTCTTTTTTCATTTTGCTGCTTTCCTAGGAAATAATAATCCCATTTACATCTATTCGGAGTTTGAAAAGTTTACTCGGCTGAAACATAAAACAGACTTGTACGGGAAGTTTGATCATTATATCCCTAATAGTTCAAAACATAAAATGGAGTCCAATAAAATTATGCATTTATATAACAATTTTATAAATATATCAAACACAAATCCATCCTATGCTTTCCCTTTACTCATCTAAGACACAAAGACACAAACCTAGAATTCCGCATTCCTCTTTCACTTACCTCCTTTTCATCATTTGCTTCTTGTGCATTCCTCTTTCACAATAAGTTTACCAAATAAGGGTATTATTATCCAAAAAAATCAACAAATGTATTATGTACTTCACACATGACTTGATTTTATTTAAATCTTTAACATAATGCTATTGAAAGGTATTAAATATAATAAGATAATACTTTGAGGTGATTAGCTGTTGAGTTTTAAAGTTCAACCGGCAGAGTTCAAATGAGTCATAATTTAAGGAGATAAGAAAAATCTTTGAGACACCTAATTTATCACCCCTAAAAACCATGTCTAATAATGTCTGACATTTATCAGATTTTAATTTGTCAAACATTTCATCATGTGGGGCTTAATCTCACTACCACATCATTAGGAATGGTTTAGGAGTGATAAATTAGGAGATGTAGCATTGTTGCTATAATTTACCTTTCGTTTTAAAACATTTTATGCTAGAATAAAGATTGATTAACTCTTTTTAATGAGTCCAATTTTGTTCATACACTAATAAATGTTCACTCATAATTAGCATTGAGTATGGATTTGATTTAGGGATTAAACACTAACAATCTCTTAATTATTAGTACTATTATTGCCTGAGTTATTACCCTTACAAATATATCCTACCAAGGTATGGAGAGATAAGGTATGGAGGAGTCCAGATCCTCTGCCATTGTTTCTTGAGTGATTCCTACCATGGTCAAAACGATGCCGTTTGTTAATTTTTTTTCCTTTGCTTTTATTTCCCCCTCTTTTCTTTTCTCTCTCATCGCTGAACATCACCCAGAAAATTTCGACTGTTGCTAGACCTCCTTCTGTTGTAGACATTGAGTTCTATGGTTTTCTATAAGGAAGGTCTGCAATGTTGGTGACATGGAAGAAGAGCTTTTGATTCCAAATTGGGTTGAGATCTTTGCACTTGACTTAGGGCATCAAGTCAAGTAGGGGGGACGAGATCTGGTTCTCAAACTCTACCTCTACAAATGGGGAGGATGAGCCTTCACCGTCTTTGGGCATCAAGTTGTGGGCTGCCACTACTTCTACCACAAGCTTTTCTTTGTTGGTGTTCATGGCTGTTGAGAGAGAGAGAGAGAAGCTTATCGTCAAACTTTGTGCACAATTTACAACCAGAGCTTACCACAAATCAACAAATCAACCAAGCATTTGTTCTTTTTGCCGTCTTTCCTTGTGAGGTTCTTCTTCTTTCTTAGCTTGTAATGGAAAATCATGCGGTCGTTCTATCAAATTGAAGAAATTTTTATAAATTAAACTTCTAATTTTTTTAAAACTTTTCCCATCTTTTAGTTGGTTAGTTTAACTCTTAAACATGGGAAGCAATAGCTTTAATGATCCATTATCGCCACCTTGTAGTCGCTGCAGCAGTCTCCTTGCCGCCGTCTCCCTCCTCTTCGTTTCGCCTCTGTTCTTTGTTCCTACCGTCGGGTAGGTTAGGGTTCTAGGGGTGAGAGTGAATAGAAAAGAGGGAAAAGCCAAAAAAACAAAAAATTTAAAACGTCGTTTTGGTACCATGGCAGGAAACAATGGTAAAGTATCTGAACTCAGTTATGGAGAGGAACCTATCTCATCAAGAAGCCAATGATTTGGCGAGAGAAAACACAAGTGAGCAAATCTATATTCAACTTCAAAACCACGAGCTTCATCAAAGTGCCTAAGGTGGAAAGTCTTGTCTCCTACTAAACTAATAAGATTGTAGACCTCATCATAAAATGAGATTATTTACTCGCCTTTCATAACCGTATATAGGAAGTTTAATTTTTACACACTACTTCGTCTTAATAGATATATTTGATTTTAGTTGGAAAATCTTTTGAACTAAGATATATGATGTGGAAATCAACTTCCCAATGAAAGTTTATGGTCCGGTTATACCTTTGGTTCATAAGTTGATTTGCGAACTACATATTTTTGTTGGGAGGTTGATTTTTGAACAACCATGTAGCTTTGTTTGAAAATTGATTTTCAACAAAGAATTGTGTATAAATTGAGAGAAAGTAACGTGCAAAAATAGAAACTCCCACCCTTAGAACAACTCTAACATTACTCTTGTCATCATTTATAACATGATCACAAAATATTATTTCACAACGTATGAATTGTTTAGCTATTGTTTAAAATTAATTATACCACCATACAGGAAATTTTTGTAAAAGTGGAATGTTACAACTTTTGTATATATATATATATGTTTGATACTAATAAGATATTTGAGTGTTTATAATAAATAACAGATTATTCATATATATATATATATAAACAATATTGTTATGTTCCAAACTAGATCCATAACTATGAAATTACGGATCGAACTGCAAAGTATAATTCATTTGCTTTAAGAACTAAGATCAAATAAAACCATATGATTTAATCTAGATCATACCGCTTCATAGTTTCTTCAATATATTTGCTCAATCCTATCATAAGGCATATATTGTAGGGGCTCCAAAATTACAGTTTGTTTGGTTTTAATTTTCAGAAAATACTTTTTAGAAAGTTTTACTTTTTTATTTTCCATATTTTTTTTTGTTTTCAATGATTTTTTTAATTATTTAAGATTTCTTTTTTAATTTTTAGACACACCTAAAATAAATATACTTAAAAATTATAATATATGTGAAAAAATATTTTAAAAATTCATTCGTATTTTTTAGTATTTATTAATTTTTAAAAATATTTTTTCACAAATATTTTGCTAGTCAGATACATTCAAGTAAGGTGCATTTTAAAAAGTAAAAAATTTGCTTAAAATTTTAAAATTATTTACTCAAAAAACACAGAAATACGAAAAACAAAAAATTAAATTTTTAAAAAATTGAATTCAGAAAAC